CTGTTATGCTAAGAGTTTTTTGTGTGCATATTGTGGGATAAAACAAAGAAGTGATCATTTTAGAGCCTGACTACTGGAATTATTGGTTCTCAAATGTGGAGCATCCTAAGAATTATAATTGCAAAAATAATGAAACTGCTTTTAAACACCATATTTTTGGCAGAGGTGTTAACGTTGTTAATTGACACTGCTGTTGGTATATTTGAATATATTGTGAGATACAGCTAATGAATAATTATCTTCTATTTTATTTCTATTCTATTCGTGGCTTTCAGAATTAGAATTCTCCATATGACACAAAGAAAATATAGATGTAAGATATAAAGTCAAGCAAATCTCTGTAGACTTGATGTTGAATTGATAGTATTATCATGAACTCATAAAGTATCTTGACAATAATATATTTCCTATCTCTGTACACTGAAAGTATTTATGAACAATGGCTAATGATAAGCATACCTAACATACACGTTATGGCCCCTAAGTACCATTCTCCACATTAGAAAGGGAGGTTCTTTGGATACATGGCTAAATCAGCTTTTGAGGCAAGAAATGTACAAAATGAGCAGGGAACATCTTGTCACACCACTGGCAACTAAAGAATATGCATGAAAATATGAATTGTAGCAACAAATTCTATTCTTACTGATATAAAAATATTATTAGTGACTCTTTGGATGATGTTACAGAATAAACTCATTATTTTGAAAATAAATAAAGAGAAAGAATCATATATTTATTCTTCATTTCCTACACAAACTGCATGCAGGATAACCAAAAAAAGAATAGTAATAGAGGATGATGAAATGAGAATATCACCATGAAAAAATTGGAATAACACCATTTTCCAGTCCATAGTAAAATAATGGATCTCGATAATATTTATCACTGGATGCTAACATCATAGAATAAGGGTCAACCAGACTTGTGTCCTCCTTGATGGTAGAACACAATATCACCTATGAAACATGCTTGAAAAGAAACAAATGAGAAATGAAACCTGCATCTGATCAATACGTTATTGTACTGCTCTATTATGATGTAAAAGATATTTCTATGTACCTGGAAATGGTCCTTCAGTCTAGCGGTTCTCAACCTGTGGGTCGCGACCCCTTTGGGGGATTGAGCAACCCTTTCACAGAGGTCGACTAAGACCTTCAGAAAACACATATTTCCGAAGGCCTTAGGAACCAAGACACCACTCCTCTATCCGTTTCCAGGTGGGTCTGCCCACATGCAGACACGCCCAATATAGGAGTACCCAACATGAAGACTGTTTCATGCGACACCATGCTTCCAGACAAAATTTCATTTATTTGTCATTAGAAATAAATATTTCACAATATACAATTACATATTGTTTTGTGATGAATCACTATGCTTTAATTATGTTCAATTTGTAACCATGAAAATACATCCTGCATATCTGATATTTACATGACACTTCATAACAGTAGCAAAATGACAATTATGAAGTAGCAATGAAAATAATTTATGGTTGGGGGTCACCGTAACATGAGGAACTGTATTACAGGGTCTTGGCCTTCGGAAGGTAGAGAACCACTGCTCTGAGAGAAGTCAAGTGGGCAGCTGACAACACCAAACCACAAAACCAAACTCACTGCCATCAAGTCTATGCTGACTCACAGTGACCCTACAGGACAGGGTAGACGGTCCTGTGAGTTTCTGAGACTGTGACTCCACTGGAGTAGAAAGCCCCATCTTTCTCCCTTGGAGAAGCTGTTGGTTTCGAACTGCTAAGCTTGTGGATCACAGCCCAACATGTAACCATTAGGGCTCCTTCGCTGACAATACAGGCACTCTTATATGTCAGGTTTCCCTTTCCACTTCCCTTTTCCTGAGGTGAGGAGAGGAGACTGACTTTGCAGTGTCACATCATATTCTCTTCTTGTTTTCAGGATGTGGGTCACTGCGCCCACATGCACATTTTCTAAGGACGTGATTCCATTGTCTAAGGAACAAGGAGAGAAGAGTGACATTGAGAATTTAGTGTGTGTGATGTCCCAAGCACCGCTTAGGCACTTACATGTTCTATTATTTAATCTCCTCTCACACACAGGTTTGAACAGCTGAGAAGGTATTTTTCGTCCCATTACAGGTATATGTATTAAGGACACGGAAGCATAAAAACATGAAAAGTTGGTTGCCTGGAGTCGCGGAGCTGTAGAATTGTAGTCAGCATCCCTCGTCTGTATTCTCATTACATCTTTGGTTTTTAGAGGGTGGGCCATGACTTGGGTGGTTCATGGTTATGGCATTTTATTTCCTTGACACACCCAGAAAATTCTTCTGTTGTAATTTTCACCCAGACTTTCCACTATGACATCAAGGGAAGTGCTAGTATGTCTTTAACATCTCTTACTAGTCTCTCTTTTTAACTTAGTGAGGGTACACCCCAGGCACAGGGGCTTGGGCAGATAATAACAGCCTCTTTCAACATTGTAATCATCGTATTTTCATTATTAACATGGATAACTTCTATTTACAGGTGATCTTGGTGTTTCTTTGGCTGCAATATGAAATCTTATTTAAAAATAAATTGATGGAAAATAAAAGTGAGTTGACCTAAAGAAAAATATTCCTTAAATGAGGAGCCCTGTGGGTTTAGTGGTTACATGTGGGGCTGAGATCTGCAAGGTCCGCAGTTCAAAACCACCAGCTGCTCCTCAGAAGGACAGGGCTTTCTACCACCATAACACACAGCAGCAGTTCTCAACCTGTGGGTCTTGACCCCTTTTAGGATCGAACGACCCTTTCACAGGGGTCTCCCGATTCATCACAGTAGCAAAATGACAGTTGTGAAGTAGCAACGAAAATAATTGTATGGTTGGGGTCACCCCAACATGAGGACTGTATGAAAGGGTCGCGGCATGAGGAAGGTGGAGAACCGCTAACAGGGTCGGAAACTCACAGGGGCAGTTCTACCCTGTCCCATAGGGTTGCTAGGAGTCGGCTTCGACTTGCAGGCAGTGATTTTTTTTTAATGCTATATGAAGATTATTGAAAGTACCGTAGACTGCCAAATGGACAACCAAATCTGTCTAGTACAGCCAGAAGGCTCCTCAGAGGCCAGGATGTCGAGAGATTGTCTCACATACTTCGGACATGTTATCAGGAGAGAGCAGGCCCTGGAGGAGGGCATCGTGCTCGCTAAGGCAGAGGGACAGCACAAAAGAGGAAGTCCCTCAACAAGATGGATCGACACAGTGGCTGCCACAGGGGGCTCAAGCGTAACCGTCGTGAGGATGGCACAGGACCACACAGTGTTTCATTCTGTTGTACTAGGGTCGCTATGAGTCAGAACTGAATAGATGGCAAAAACTTGCTAGATGAGGCTGGGCTCCAGTGGCGGAACTTTGGAATACAGTGTGGCTTACCATACCCACCCTCATCCCATTCTGGCCTTGGGTGCCGGCCTCACCTCTTTAACAATTGCATGTCTCCTCTTGACCCAAGCATTTCACTTGGAAACTGTTACTGTTTATTGGTGAATTCACTTCTCCAGCGAGACTGCCATAGCCCCAATGCTACATACCTTTATTCTTTCGATCCCACTAGTGTGCTGGTGCAGTACCACTGCCTTTAGAGACCCACCATGGCTAGTCAGTATATCAGAGTTCCAGAAGAGTGTTAAGTCAAGACCACATTATTAGTACCCTGCTTCCCTGAAAATAAGACAGTGTCTTATATTAATTTTTGCTCCTGAGGTCTTTTTGAGGGGATGTCTTATTTTTCCATGAAGAAAAATACGGTATACATATATCGTTTATTGTTTTATTAAAAGAGATCTCGTACTTCCTGTCTGCTCTGGCTGCGCTGCAGCCAACAGTGAGCTGCGCGGCAGTGCCCACCACTACGGTCCAGAGTCCAAAGTTAAGGTACCTTCTGGGGCCTTATTTTCAGGGAGGTCTTATTTTCGGGGCATGTCTTACTTTCGGGGAAACAGGGTAAGTCACAGTGGTTCTTTGGCAATCTTAGAATTATCCAGATTTTTAAAAATGAATTTATTAAATGTATATGCCTTGTATTAAAGGTATATTAAAAGTTCCAATTACCATCCATTCCTCTTCTCTAAACAGTCCCTCCATCTTTTATGATGGTCCAATGTGGGTGCATTTTTTACCCTCCTTCCTATGACAGAAGGGATTTACGTTTGTGAGAAATGGTTGTAGAAGGGATTCCTTTAAAATTAAAGAGCATGTTTTATGATTTCTTCTAAACATAGGCAAAGTCAATAAAAATCCCCCACTGCTGCATATCGTTAAAAAAAAAATCATTGTCACATAAAATAATTGTGTGTGTGTGTTGTCCCAAGGAACCTATCACAGTCATTTTAATCCTGCCGGGTAGAAACAGTATCTTCTCTTGATTCTTTGTTACATCTGATACGATCAGTGCAGCATATTATTAAGGAAAGGAATCCGTATCTAAGATCACGCATCTGTCTTCCTCTCAGGTCCCAGGAGCACCACCAAGTCGGTAATTTTCATTTTAGGGCCTTGCCGAGTGGGATCCAAAGCCTGAACAATAGAAGGGTTAGGTTTTACACTTTTGATGTACCCAGTGAAGATGCTAAATATGTCTTCCTAAATCCACAAGGTCAAAGAAAAGACCGGGGCTCCATCTTCCCGGGCAGGGAACCCTGAGCATGCTGTGGCTATCAAGGTTCCTGAGTGCCTGGTTTCCCTGCAGTCGGGCCCCAAGGCATGGATGGGCCTGACTGTGCACCTCAGAGCAAGGAAACACCCAGTTATGAACATGGCAACCCATTTTAGCCTTCTCTGCACTCGGCGTCCGAGTTGGGAGCCAGCAGTGGGTGTGCGTGTGTGAACTGGGTGTGTCTCCCCCCTTGGCGGTTGCAACTGGTGCCGTTTGGGTCCCCCGTCCCTGATTCCCACCCTGCCCAGACCATTGTCCGCACATCTCGTCCCTCCAGCTTCCGGGCCGCGGGTGAGATGATTTGCTGCAGATGACATCAGCCCGGGGCCAAGGGCTGGAAGAGCCAGGCTTGTGCCGGGTGGTCCTTTCCTCCCCCTCTTCCTTCTCCTCCCGGGCTCCCAGGCTAGTCTCCATATAAAAAGCCGCGCCGCCTCCCCTCCCTCCGGCTCCTCTCCGCCTAGCTCTCAGCACAGCTAGCAAAGGGCGGAGGGGGAGGCGGCGCGCAGCGCCGGGAGGAGGGGGGACGCAGGGGGCGGAGCCGAGGCAGCACCTTCGGAGATAATCCTTTCTCCTGCGGCATAGGAGAGCAGCGGCCGGAGCGGGACACAGCGCAGAGGCTACAGGGGCCGGCAGGATGGCGACCGTGGTGGTGGAAGCCACCGAGCCGGAGCCGTCCGGCAGCATCGCTAACCCGGCGGCATCCACCTCACCCAGCCTGTCGCATCGCTTCCTGGACAGCAAGTTCTACCTGCTGGTGGTCGTCGGCGAGATTGTGACCGAGGAGCACCTGCGGCGCGCCATCGGCAACATCGAGCTCGGTAAGCGCCCCCCGCAGCCCCCAGGGATGAGCGAGCGCGGGGAGATGCGCCAGCCGGATCCCACCCAGGGCGCAGAGGCCACCCTTCTCGCTGGGCGCGCCCCGCACCCTCTCCCCTTCCCACCACCTCCCACACTCCATCCATCCAGACACTCTTCTGGGCTACTTGCGGAGAACATTCCGGATTCTTAGATTTGAAGCCTTGAGAGACGGACCCGCCTCTAACCTTGAGGGTTCTGTCCCGGAGCTAGCCACCGCCTCTCCTCGGAAGTGAAATGCAGGTGTCAGAGGAGCAGAGGCCACAATAAAGCTGCCACCCCTAGCGGCAAAGGAGGGGTGGGGGAGTGGGAGAACCTGATGCTGCCACTCCCTGCCAGCCCCCTCGCTCCCTGTAGCGGGCTGGGGCCTTCCGCGCCGGCTGACCCCGGGCTGAAGCACGGTGCGCAACGGCTCCCATGGGAACCAGCCTCGCCCACAGCCACCTTGGGCCCTCAGAAATGCCTTTTCTGGCTTAAAACCCGCCCGATC